AAAACTTTGGCGGTCACATTCAAGATCTTTGAGCAGTGCATACATTGTGGTTCTTTCTTTCTAAACAAAGCCCCTGTATGATGAAGTGAAGGACCATGACTTTCTCCACTACAACAAACATGCATTAGGCTTTTTTCAACTACACAACACTTCTTCTCATTAAGATTTGGCAATACAAATTATCTTACCTCAAGAACAAGCCAGAGCTGTCCACCCACATATCGATCTGCCTTGTAAAACATTCCATAAAATTTAACCACATTGGGATGATTAGGAAGAAACTGTAAGATATTATACTCTGCTTCAATCTCCTCGTCCATGTCCTAAATTGGAGACACACAGAGCACACACTTCGTAAGTATCACTAGGAAGAGAGAGCCCCCAAATTTGGTCCCGCTAGTGCACTGTTTCTCAACCTTGTCAATTTTAAGGCATGTGGACTTCAACTCCCAGAATTCCACAGCCAGCATTGCTGGCTGTGGAATTCTGGGAGTTGAAGTCCACATGCCTTAAAATTGTCAAAGTTGAGAAACACTGCGCTAGCGATACTATCAGCTCTTCTGAAGATGACATGTGCAACCTTCCAGTGGATCTGGAGTGCAAATGACTCAAAGAAAATTATAAAACTTCCTATGGCTTTAGGATTATATTGCAAAATATTAAAATATTGAGAGCTATTCAAGCAATAATAAAAACATGTTAGTTTGTGAACCATCTGGAGTTTTGAAGTATTTGTATTGTTACAGACAAATAATAGATGGCAAGTCTTATTTAACGCTGAGCTTCTTTGTTCAACACAATTGTGTTTTACTTCTGTTATCTGAATTGCAATCACATTCCTCTAACTTTTAGTTGCCTTGAACTATGAGATGGGCAGCATATAAATTTAATAAATAAATAAACTTTTTACTTCCACTGAACCATTTTATGTTCTTCTTAACAAAACCTCCAATTTGACTCAGTTTTACTCATATAGTGTCATTTTTTTAAAAGCATTGTTAAAAACCAGCCTTTATTTCAAGCAAAGACCTTACTTCCAATATCTTAGAAAGCTAAATAAAATATGAAAAATATTTTCAAAACTTTGACCATCAAAATAACCACACCAATTAAACAGAATGTTATTTTATTATATATGGAGCAAACGTTCTTTCTGTAACACAATATATCTCAATAAGTTGGGATGGTGTTTCCTTATAGACATCTTTGAATAAAGCATGGCATTTTATTGCAATATCTGGAAAGCTGAGTATCTTAGGTGTCCTTGGATAACCTTCCCTCCCTTTGCATTTGAGAAAAGTATTTGAGTTTATGAAAGAAAAACAAAGCAATATGATTTTGTTTTCAGAACCCAAAACATTATCAAATTCCAAAATGCAGGCTCCATGTTTTGCACAGAATATGAGATTAGATTGATGCATTCCAGCCTTGTACTTTTCCCATTGAACAGGAGTGAACAGGTAAACAAAAAACATTGAATTAATTTGGGACTCTGTCCAATTTGGGAACAACTGCCTTGTTTTCTATCATCATGTGCATCACATAACTAAAGTTCACGTTCAGAAAGCTTTCATTTTATCTAAATAGAAGCTTCACAGCCTCTTGTGAATTCACAGTATAAATAGTTTGTAACTGTTTAAAATTGTGTTCTTTACTCACATTAATAGGATCTAGAATCTTCACTGCTGCCAGGCTGCCATCCTTCTTATTAGTAACCTTATAGACTTTACCATATGTTCCTTTTCCAATAGTCTCAATAATTTCCCAGGTATCTGTGGGGTCAAGTAAAGATTCCAGTCCAATCATATTCTGATTATACTGAAGCACGCCATAGAGTGGCTTCCTGGGAGAAATAGGATAAGAAAACAGTTGAATAGCTGTCATAATTATAGGAAATCAGTTGATTCAGTGATTCACATGGCCACGTTTACAAAGCAGTATCTTGATGGCTATGATGGAGGCTTTCATAAAAGAATATTATGTGACTGTTTTGCCAAATCTGGGGGCAAATTGTAGTAACATACACAGGAACAGTCATACAATTTCCTGCAGCCATTAAGATTTGGTTTTTAAGTTTTTGCTCGTGGTGGCTTAGTCAAAGTGAGCTTTCATATAATACTTTTTCAGAATATGGAGGAGATGGAGACTACATGCCAAGCTAACTAAGTGAGTTTTGGAACATTTTGCCCAATATGGCACACCTGTAATGAAAGCTCAGATTTTCCCAAGTATATTCATATAGTTCTCTACAAATGTGGATCTTTAAACTAGAGCCTACCCTGCAAACCAAAATATAGTGATAGCATCCCACCAATTAGATATTATATACAGTTTACAGGACAACTTCAACGTCTTCAACAGTTTGATTTTTTTTTTCTTAAAACAGCTTGCCAAGATCTACAGCTTTCAGATACACAGAGGGACAGGACAGATAATTTCTTCAGAAGATTTCTGTCTTTCCCCTGAAAAATGATTCTGAAAAAAAGACAAACTCTTTCTTTATACTCTAAAAACTTCCAGCTGCCCAGAGAAGTTGACCTAAATCAACCATGATGTTCTTTAAAAGTTGAAAAGAGTGCCAGAACCCATTTTATCTTCAGTTACAGAGAAATTTAATCCCTTTCTTAAGAAAGATGAGGCTATAGATATCATTTGTTATTGCAGAGATGCACTCTCTTTGTCCAACTATGCTGGGCAAAAAGAGAGCTAGTCAATCTCACATTCTTAATATTCCTAAGAATTAACCTGACAGTAGAGGAACATCTGTCAAATGAACAACGCATCAATAAAACAAAAAGGTTATGGCAAATTTTTACATTATCACTCTGATGAAGGGTATATCTGGCAATATTCAGTCCCAATTTTTTTAAAATAAATGTGTTTGCTAGATGGTATCCTACCAAACTCATATATCTATCCCAGATAAAGCAAAGAGAAAACAGAGATGCATTTGAAAACATTCATCACAAGGATTGCTCCCTAGAGTAACCCTCATCCATTTTAGAAAGATGTATGTCAACATTTATGGCTTATGGCATGAAACATTTCAGTTGAAATGATATTATGGCCATCT